TTGGTCCACATCCATCATTGCTTGAATCTACAGTGTTCCTGGATGTAGGTTTACTACAACTCCTAAACTAAAGGTCAATGCCCACCAAACGTTTCTAGTATTTTCTGTTGGTCATGGGAGTCCTGTGTGCCACATTTAGTTAAAGTCCATCATTGGTGTTCAGAATGCTCTTTGATTGCGGATGAACTATAAATCCCAGCAACTACAACTCCCAAATGACAAACTCATTTTTTGAGTGAAAGACATACATTGGGTTGTTAGGTGTCTTGTGGCCAAATTTGGTGTCAATTCGCCCAGTGGTTTTTGAGTTCTGTTAATCCCACAAACGAACATTACATTTTTATTTATATAGATTTTCTTGGAAACTCTTTTCTCAACCCAGTTGTGAGAAATAGCTGTTTACTCCATGGAAAATCTATTTCATACATAGCCAGGAATTTCCTTTCCTAGGCCCCTTCTACACTGCCACGTAAAATCCAGATTATCTGCTTTGAACTGGATGATATAGCAGTGTAGACTCATATAATCCAGTACAAAGCTTTAATAACCTGGGTTATATGGCACTGTAAAAGTGGCCTCAGAAAGAAAGAAAACTGTGCCTTCGTATGTATTAGTTTGCTTGTTGTCTTACGGTGACCCCATGAATTGCATGGGGTTTTCTTAGGCAAGGGTGGTTTTTGCCAGCTCCTTCCTCTGAAATATAGCCAACACCCATGGGAGGACTCTGTTTTGAGTCCCCCCAGGGGTGAGAAAGGCAGTATATAAATACTGTAAATAAATAAATTGTAAATTGTATTAATTCACAGTCTCCCATCCAAGCACTAACCAGAGAATGATACTAATTACAGCTATGCTAAGAAAATTAAAATACTAGGCCCAGGCAGTTTTAATCATGAATTTTAAACTCGCATTTTGTGTCCCCTATATTTTAATAATTGTTCTGTGTATTTTAATATATGTATTTTGTAGAAATTCATTCTACAAAATACATATATAGAACGAATTGATGTAACCCACCTCAAAACATGGAGAGAGGAATCAGATTATTATTATTATTATTATTATTATTATTATTATTATTATTATTATTATTATTATTTGGTATGGCCTGTGCAATCAACAACAAAAAAGTTTCAATACTTATTGCAAAATTAGGCAGTGAGGGAAAATTGTTTCTAAAGTGTTTACGAAATTGGACAGGGTCCGCATCGTAACATTGATGAGTTAACTCCTTTTAAGTTAAGTAATTGTGCCAATGGGGAAATCCCGTATCCCTCATTGTTAGAGCTATTGGCATGAAACTTGCTATGATTAGAGGACACATTTACCACTATTAGCCCATCAAATTTCAGAATGTTTCACTCATCCATGGATTTTCAAGGAATTTCCAATGTTTTTACAAAGATTTTTTTTTAAAAAATACAAGAGCTATCTCCTTGAATCTTCTATACAATGACACAAGATAACAGATCATTCCCTCAAGTTTCAGAAATATTCATACATCTACTGATTTTGGGGATTTAAAAAAAAGTTTTGACATTTTGCTGGTGCTAAAAATGAATCTGACTTCCGTTCATTACAAAATTCAAATGAAATTGGGTGAGTTTCAATTCTGAAGTTTTTGTTTCTTAATATCTGGGTCGTTGTAGGTTTTTTTCGGGCTATATGGCCATGGTCTAGAGGCATTCTCTCCTGACGTTTCGCCTGCATCTATGGCAAGTATCCTTAATATCTGTTCATATATACAAAACTTATGAATTACATATGACTTACGATTTAAAAACAAAGATTGCACACCCCTATTATTTAGCATGTAATGTCTGAGTAGTGAGTGCAGAGTTATTGCTTACCATGTTAATTTCTTTTGCGGGTTGTGAGCAAACTAACCAATCAACTCATGCCAAGGAAAGTGGCAAAGAACCCATCGGATAGTAATGTGCCTTTAGAAAGTTTTTAGAAGACTCGTAAATAGGTCGATGGTGTGTTTGCTTTGCAAATGATTGTCAAGTGCAGCCTCTGAACAAAGGCATTTTAATCTTTCATGAATCAGATGAGATCTGGCACCTACAAAGTTGGGTTGCTCTGTAATAAAGAGATGGCTTCTGTCCCTTAAAGCAGTTGGATGAAAGAAAGGATGTTAGGAGATAAAGCTGTTGAACTCTCTCTTTTGCATATTCTGTCAAAGTTAGCTTAGCCCTTCATTAATAATACAACTCCTAACTCTGGTTAATTGCATCTACCTCTGTTGCTTTGGCAGGATCTCAGCACCATTCAAAAGCTTAACAGGGGAAAATCAGCAGGAAGGCTTCACACATGCAAAGCAATGTCTGCTTACAGCACAGGCAGACCATATGCTTCCCTCATATCCCCAATTTTAGAAATTTAGCCCAAGCAGGAATATATGACCTTGGTGCAACCTCTGAGAAGCTGGTTCTACCCCTTCGCAGTTGAATCCTGAGCTGGTTGTGGACTAGAACAGTTGTATCCCGTCCTATTCTCGACCTCAGAAAAGGGACTCAAGGTGGCTTCCAACAATAAAAAAACACCAATAAAATACACAATTACATAAAATGATAATAAATACACATTTTAAAACAGTTCGCCAAGTAGAAAATGTGCTCCAAATCAGTCACAAAATGTAGTCCATGCAATCTCATCTAAGCCAATAAACACAATCTATTCTGCGAACGCTTGCTCCCACAGCCAAGACTTAAGTGTCTTGCAAAACGTCAGGAGGAAGGGGCAGATCTAACATCTTTAGGGAGTTCCACAGCTGAGGGGCCACCACGAAGAAGGCCCTGTCTTTCATTCCCACTAAATGCGACTGCGATAAAATACAGAATGAATTATACTATTTAAATATCGGGCGGCAGCCAGATGGCTAACTGGAGCGACATACAGGGAGTATACCCCTTGTTGTGTCAGCTCCACTGGCTGCTGGTCCACTTCCAAGCTCAATTCAAAGTACTGGTTTTGACCTATAAAGCCCTATATGGTTCTGGCCCAGCTTACTTGTCAGAACGCATCTCTCTCTACGTCGCACCTTGCAGTTTAAACTCATCCGGGGAGGCCCTGCTCTTGCTCCCGCCAGCGTCACAAATACATCTGTGGGGACAAGAGACAGGGCCTTCTCGACTGTGGCCCCCGCCTGTGGAACTTGCTTCCCACTGAAGTAAGATCGGCTCCGCCCCTCCTGTCATTTAGGAAGAAATTGAAGTCGTGGTTCTGGGATCAGGCTTTTGGACAACAGACATAGATAGCACTTTGACATGGAATTGAATATGGAATTGACTGGAATGATGTTACGGCTATTAATACTGTTTTTTTTTTACTGCTTAAAGCTCCATTGGCTGCCAGTCTGCTATTGAGTACTGGGTTGTTGTAGTTTTTTTTCGGGATATATGGCCATGTTCTAGAGGCATTCTCTCCTGACGTTTCGCCTGCATCTATGGCAAGCATCGTCAGAGGTAGTGAGATCTATTGGAACTAGGAAAGTGGGTTTATATATCTGTGGAATGACCAGGGTGAGACAAAGGACTCTTGTCTGTTGGAGCTAGGTGTGAATGTTTCGCCTCTGTTTTGCTGTTGTAATTTTAGAGGTTTTTTAATACTGGTAGCCAGATTTTGTTCATTTTCATGGTTTCCTC